CTGAAAAATGACTATGAATCGAACAATTGGGTGAACGAAACATCTTGTTTGTTTGGTTTTTTGCTTAGTTTTCATAATCTTCTCGAATCTCATCTTATATATCATCGGAACAAGGACATCGTGAAAATGGTTGGAAAATTTGATTTTAAATGAAGCAGCATTCGTTCAGTATGATGAATTGATATGATGGATGCGAGAGATACGCTACGGTGAGCACTTTGCAGAATATTTTCAAAAAATACGATTCACTCACAACAATCGACTATTCTTGATCAAATCTTGATGTGAATACGATTCAAAACATCGCACATTAATCATTTTGTTCGATCACGAATATTTTTTTAATCGTTAAGTTATTCTCGAACATGTTATGTTCTCAGGCACAATTCGGCTTATTACAAGCATCCCTCGCGATAAGTAATCGTTTCTGATCGATTTCGCTTTTCTTTTGCGGTATATCGCACCGTATGATCGACTTTCATTGGTTTGATCTTTGAGGGCACATTTCTCAGCGAAATGCGATGAATAAACCAAATGTCTTTAGGAGCCTTACGCTGATATGTTCGAAGTAATATCGACGCCATTTTGAGGCCTTCGCCAAGCTACTGTATTCAAGAATTGCGACACGATGACCAGTCGAGTCGATGCGTAGTTCATCAGCAACGCCCTTGAGAAGCCTGATGACACGCTAAAATCCATTAATTCAGAACTTTGCGAGAAATTTAGCGAGGCATTCAGAATCAAAAACATAATCAACGACGCGATAACACACTCTGAGTTGTCTTAATTCGTGCAGTCTCTTTATGGTATACTTCATGAAGCCTTGAATTCAGGAAAATTCTAACCTTTTCAGAGCAATGCTCTAAAATGTCCATCAATTTATCACAATTTGAAATTTGAAAAAGGCAAAAACTGATCATTGATGATTGGAAATTCCTCACTCCGTAGGTGCAAAACACTACTGAATATCTTATGAGCCGAACATGCTACTGGATATTATTCTATGAGTTCATAGCCGAAACCGAAACCGATACCTTGAATTGCTGTGGTGCACTCGCCGAACCATCGATAACAAATATAAAATCAGCGCATGATTGCACCAATTCCGAGCAAACCAAGAGGAGAGCAATCGGATAAATCCAAAAACTAAACAGCCACATTAGGCGCGGCACTGACTGAAGAGAGCAGCTGCACCGTGTAAACACTCTCTTTACCCTACGGTCAAATCCAACTGACACTTCGATGACAATTTTCTGCCGATGTGTTCTTCATCCAATTCATCATCTCATCTACCTATCTATCTGAATACGGAACAAATCTTGTCAACATCTCATATCTTCGCATGTGCCACCAGATCTATCCCTGACGTATCCAACTTTTTCCTATATCAACAACTTCCTTAATCGGGCGCTATCATCCAATTATCCTACTACCACTCATCTAGTTTGATTGTCATTCTTGTTATTTCTGCTGCTGATGGTGCTGTGAATGTTATAACGCAAGAAATTGACGAGAAAGGCTTGATAAAATTCAATTTGATGATCAATATAAGTGATCAAAATGACCGTCGTTAACATTTGAACATTTCAGTTTGTCCTTTGGTGTTTCGTGAAAGTTGATTTTATTTCTTATGTATCGAAGAGGACTGAGACTGGCGGACTTTTCTTGTGATTCTCGTAATCGGATTACAACTCCTTCAAAGTGCAGATTGCCTATAACTGATATCTGCTCTATATCGAACTGCCTGCGGTTGAACTCCCAATAGCAGTTTTTTTCACGTAAATAAATCTCTATTGATCGTCATAAAAACAGAGCAAACTCATTTTCTTTTCCGAAAACTTCCATAAGAAAGTTCTCATTTAGAGATTCTTATGCGAACCCATTTGATTTTTCAATCTGCTGTAGGACTTCTCAGTGTGTGCCGTTGATGTGTGATCGGTTGAGATAAATCCACGTGTTATTAATCTAGTGAATGAATGGCCTTTGGCACACACACACAAATATTTCATAAAAAACGACGATTTAGAGATTTGATCGCATCCTTTTTTGGGTGGATCACAACACCACTTGTATAGTGGTTCGCTTGAATGATTTATTCGTTTCGTTTATGAGTGATTGCAATCAAAATCCGAAAACGAACATCGTTCCTTTTGAACTGGTTTTGCTCTCATTTTCCATTTCACTTCATTTCAAACTTATTGAAGACGACGANAACGATCTCGTTCAACCACTCATTATTGCAGATGTTTTTTTCATTCCCTTAAATTTTCTAGAATATTTCGATCGAAAACTTCCCTTGCTAATGAACATCCTTCGTTCAAATTCTTATGATCTGTTCCCCGATATTCTCTGAAAATATTCATGTGGCGATTGAACAATCTGAACTGCTGAACCAAATCCACTGTGCAAATCCATGAAATGATAATCATCATAACGTGCTATCATGACATCACTAAGTGATAATGATAACCGATGATTGTGCTATGAATACTCACGAAAACAGTCACTCAGGAAAAATAATTTCCATATGAATACAGTCATTGTTCAAAGTGTTCATTTACTGTTTATGCCGTCAGCCATCCTTTATAGTACACTACGAGTATATTTTTTTCATTCCCTTGAATTTTCTCCAGTCATCTAATATCGGCACATTATCCAACTCTATTGCTACCCAAACATTTTCCACTTTATTGGTCCAAATCTGTCGTATCGCTTTGAATTTACTTCATACGGGAAGTTCAATGTTAAGTCAACAAAATGTTCAAAACTGTACAATAAGCAATGCACACAATGTTTAAATTTATTTTCATTTATTTATTCATTCACTTAAAATCATTTCAGTTTTCAATTCATTTAAAAAAATATGCATGTGTGTTTGTGTTACATTTGCTAATGGGTGGAGGGGGGAGGGTGGGGATGGGAATGGGAAAACTACTAACACTTGGAATTAGACCGGAACTGGAAACAACTGCGCATTTCTGACAATAACATTATAAGATTATGATCACAACTCAACGACGGTAACAACAAGGAAACAAATTGAATTCAGTGAAATTTACTAGAACCAATCGATTCGGCTATGCCTTCTCACAACCCAGAACTCAACTGATAACCGCACTGAAGCACAATACAAGTGGTGATTAGGTAAAAGCTATCCGAGAATGCCAAAGAATATATCAAGTGATTCGTAAGCGGGATAAGAGAACAGAATATGAGAACGACGCATGATGCTCGTTGTGAAACAAAGCCATTGATCATAAATGGACACCATAAGTTGAATATAGTTCAATGAAAGGATACGACGAAACGATACGAAAAAAGATCACAGCTAATGAACAATCATAAAAACAAACGGACAAAAGAATCGACCGTCTTTCATACTCAATCAATCACGAACTGATAATGAATTATCAAAATTATCAAAAACTCTATCTAATGCGGCCAGAGTCTAGCGCTCTTATCTCATAACTCAGCTGCTCTTGCTTCGTCAGATTTCATCTAGATAAACGTAAATGACGCACTGGCATAGGGCGTAAATGACTCATAGTGTTTGCTTTGATTTGCTGACAATAAATTACACCAAGCAGCATTCATCACAATGCAGTAAAGGCTCGAGATTTATACCAATACAAAAATTAAACTTAATTCATCTCAACTCATCTAGATGGAAATGATATTATCCAACTCTTCATCTATCAATTTTCATAATCATTTGAATACACGAGGAGTAATTAAAAAGATAAGTTATAATTACAATTAGAAACGAACCAAATGATCGATATAAAACGATAGATTAAGAAGACAATAATAATGAATGAACGTACAATAACGAACGTACAATTATAAATAAATAACCATCATCTGAACACGATGATAACTGTGATAAACAACAAAGGAGGCGAGACGATTAGGGGAAACGGTTGCTGCCCGAACGACAGAAGGATAGAACAGGCTTGATGGAATAAAACTTAACTTCAGTTGAACTTAAACTTGCTTGCAATAAAATGAATACGATGAACAGTGAACAGAAGAGAGGATGAAGTAAAAGGTAGAGCTGGATTTATTCTTTTGAAAACTCAGTGAAAATAGATTCCATTCCATGTCAGTCGATAAACGACCGACCACGGTACACGTTCTCTGCTGCTTAACAACATCCTCCAACCTTCTTCTCATTGATCGGTTGTGAGCCACCAATACGTACTGATGGACCTGTACCGGCTTGTTGTACTGGACCCATACGAGTCTTGATCTCGGCCGCCATCGTCAAAAAAGCCTTCAAATTATACAAATTCCTTCCATATACAACCAAAAGAAACACTCTTCGAGCACAACACTAATTAACAAATCATATATATATTGGTGTACGAGTGGTAATACGATGATTCTGTTGACGTTACAATGTAACATCGTTCGATATTATTGAAAACGATTTGTATATTTTGATTTCTTTTTGATTTTTCGTTTGTATGGCATAACTTAATGGTAAAGCCAATGAATAAGTGATCAAAAATTTCATGAACAAGCTGAATAACAACATTTTCCACACCTGTTCAACATTA